ATATATATATACATACACACACACACACATATATATATATGTATGTATATATATATATTATATATTTTTTTTAAGATCTGCAACTAATTCCTCTTATTCATTTTTTTCATGTCATTTACGTTTGGGATTTACAGTCTAAAACAGACTGTGTATCTAATGATAAACTTTCCTTTGTGCAGTTTTCATATACACATAATAATAACGACAATAACGAAAACAGAAGTGTACAATTTATTCACAACACCGTTTGACATGCAGTGCTTAACAAATGTATAAAAAACAAGAAAACACAAATATTTTAGAAATGTGCCAAAAACTTGTTCAAAACTAAATTTGGACTGGCATAACATTCAATCAGTAAAACATATTTTTCGGTTCACCATAATTAGGTGTAATTCTATACTTTTGTAATTTCTCTCTTTTTTGTAAAACAATAAATTAGAGAATTCATGGATAACAACAATAATTATATTTTAACATGAAAAAATACTGATTAATGAGTTTGCATGTACAGATGGATTCACTATCACAGAAGCATGAAAATTATTTTGGTAGTTACTAATACTGTTAATTTAGGGCAGTTGTGACATAAACTTTTTATTGAGCGCTGGTCTAATTAACTGGTTAAGTGCAGTATAACACATACTTTGCAACTTTCTGATATTCTGCAGGTATTAACCATTTAATTCCAAACTTACTGTTAGATTATTTACTGAGAATAAATTTAGCTATACCAATAATTACTGATAATTACAACATTCATGGCTAACAATCATGACATCATGAGCTGAAGATGAATATTTAATTCATATTTTAAAAACATAATTTCATTGTATTGTTCACTAATGCACTCACCAGCACTCCAGATCCCAGAATGCCTCCAAAGTACCAGACCTGGTCTGTGATGTTTTTACTGTCCACCGACTTTCCTCCGGGAAAGAAGAGCAGGATGTTGCAGAGCACACACACAATGCACAAGGGTATCAGAGTGAACCCCAGACATCTAGCAAAGCCACCTGAACACATTCTGACGCTGATGTTTCGACAGCTCCCGACGACACCAACAACACCTGAAGTTAGAGAAGGGAACTTTAAAACTCCACCTGGGATGCTGTTTCTGTTGAATTATCTCAGCGAAATGATTTAGACTTAAATTAAGCCCAGTCTTTATCCACTTCAAGGGGCTCAAACGATAAAATGTTGAGATTGTGGCACTGAAGAATATCACTGCACCTATTACATTCGACTTGTATTAAGTGCAGTGTCCCCAACACGCCCTAAAAGTTTCTCACCAAATCTCAGACCTTTTGAATGATGCGTCTGCTTCACCTGTCCCAGATATGTGAGAATAGTTAATAATTGAATGAGCCTTTATAGAACCCCCCTCTCCCCTCTTCCCACCCACGCCTTCCCCTCACCCTCCCTTCACCCCATCCCCGCCTATCTCTGTGTGATCTCATTGCTTCAATTTTACATTAGGCAGCTGTAAAATGGCAGGATCTCTCCCAGTTGTGCACGCAATGTGCAAACACACATGCACATGCTCATGGCTGCATGCAAACACACCGAGAGCCATTAATGCTGAATTACATACCTGTGTGTGCACACAGACACAGCAGTGAAGACACAGCAGTGAAGACACAGCGGTCACACTAGTTAATGTTCTACATTGAGTTCACATGGAGGCAGAAGAGGAAGTGACAGACAGTTGGTCTATACAGTGAGGCCCTCTTAGCTGTTAGTCACCTGACACAGTGAGTAATCTTGGAGTGGAACATTATTATGAGCAATGTTCATCATTAATCACTGTAGAAGTGTCAGAAACACCCAGTAGAAGTACAGTGGACCACAGCCTTTCTCGTAATAAATTATCTATCGATTAAATACGAAAGCTTGTCGGGTGAATAACATGTGAATTCTGTCTTTAATCAACTCTCATTGTAAATGAAGGCATCTATTGATGTTGATTGGTTAAATTTAATTTGGTCTTTTCAAGGTAATCTGGGTGAACTACTTAACAACAAGGATCTGGATTAGACATTGGTCTCTGATATCTATTTGATATCTACTATTGGATCTTAAGCTGGCCTAAAAACCCTTCCACAACATCATATGATTGTGGATACCACCCTATAACTTCCAGTTTTCATGTCAAGACAACCAGTGAAATTAAATTCCTGGAGATGTTTCAAGATGACTGCTGAGCAATCAGACTTGCTTCTGGAATGCTTCTGGCTTTTAATATAGTGAATAAGAAGAAAACATGTTGACAAAAGACATCTAGTATCACATAAAAAGCATTCCTTGTTTGGCAGAAGTAAACAAATACAGTAAACTATATTTGGCTTCCTCAGGCGGATCTATAGTATTTGGTCAGTCTCTTGACTTGTCTCTTTATACATTTTTAAATATACCTGTTACTATTGATAGAGACAATTATCCATTACTGTAAGCTTTAAGTGAACTCCCAATACAAGGCTAACAAATGTGAGTAGCTGTTAGATAACTATAAAACTTTAAACACTTGGATTGTGAATTGTATTTTCTGGCTGTTATTTTGTATTTAGTGAATTATTAAATTAAATTAAATTGAATTATTAAAATTCCATTCAATTACAAAAGTGCATTTTGTTATTTATTTATTGTTTTAATAGTCCGATTTAACCTTTGTTCCACCTTTTAAAGAACCCACATATCTAATGGAAAAACAATTTCCATTAGATATTCCATTATGAGATTTCGTTGTAGTTTTTTCTGTTAGTGTTGAGATTGTGCCAGTTCTCAGTTTTCCGAGTGAAAACTTAACCTTAAAGCAATTCATAAAGTGGCACATAAACGCAGCAGTAACAACAAAAACAACAATAATACTGATTATCCCGCCGATCAACGGCATGATCGATGTTGTCTGCGATACGCTTATCTTGTCTGCCTTGTCGACATCAGAGCAATCGATCAGAGGCGTAAAGTCCAGTTCTCTTTTTTACTCGTCCGTCATTTTCACGTAGTTTCTGTCTCAGTCGCTGATATTTGAAACCAGAATGGGAACCGACTTGACTTTTTCCTCTCGTCGGTCCCCTGTTGTGTGTTTACACGGCTGTGTGGCCTCCAGCCAACCTTTAGCTTCCAGTATAGGACTGGGTAAGTGGGTGGAGTGCCGTGGAGAATTGAAACGAAAAGACAGCCAAAAACGTTTATATTCTTATTTCGAAGTATGAGCACAAAGAATCTGACTGCGTGAGCCAAAATTTACCAACATGTTTGTAACCCAAAAGACAAAAAAATGACAGTAAAGATTCAGTTGGTATCGTAAGCGCTAATCTGATGCTATTAAACCATCAAATCTCGTGCAACTGCTATGAAGACTGTGCCGAGCCAAAAAGGGATTTCCGGTATGTGCCAAAACATCATTGCCCGTATTTAAACCGTTATAAATTACTTACTTGCTAATAATCTGTTAAACATATATCAAAAGTATCTCTCATGAAAGATATCAAGTAATTTTGAGCCACAAATAAGACTGGATTTATTATAGTATTGGTCATAAAGAGTCATAAAGATACTTGTAAAACAGACAAGATACTTGTAATCGTATATATTATATATTATATATATCTATCTCTATGTGCTGTGAATACTTAAAAGAAGAAAAATAATTTGACCTTAAGCTAGATGAAAACACAGGTGAAAATATATATATATTTTTATATTGGCAACTAAAATTGGATGCACCTGTATTCCAGTCAAAATCCTTCTCCACCTATAAGCTATATGTTTGAAGCCACCTCAGTGTTTATGTTTTGTCTATAAGATGTTAGAAAGTCTTAGATACTGGTTTGGTCCAACCAGCAATTTAAGACTGAAAGATATTCAGTTCACCGATGGATCACTTTGTAAACCCTTGCAGCTGAATACCAGAACCTTATGTCAGGCTTCCTTGTGGGACTTGACAATGCATTAGTTAAAATAGATACAACAGAGCATATAGGTCAGAATCCCGATTATAGGTATAAAATTGTTATTGTGTCGATCATTTCTCATAATGTCTTGTTTCACCTAATACAATTATTTGCTCTTTTATGTAATGTGACATCCTTTTCTGCCAAAGCTTGATTGTGATTGGCTGATTTGTTTAAAGAAATCAATACATCTCACAATATTGATTCGTATTCCAGTTAGAGTAGTATTCCTATTTGCATGTATATGATCCCCTCGCGGAGCTGGCTCTATCTATGCTTTCATTTCTGTTTAATATATTCTGGTGCTTCTGAGATACAAATATGAGTGGAATATAGTTTGCAGAGCCCCAAAACTGACAATATCTTTGGAGTCCTCAGCCATTGGATATGGATCGTGGATCTTTTGAGCCACTATTGATCATGTGCCTCATCACATGAGCCAAGGTATGAAAAAAGGAGTAGGTCATTATCAGGTTTCGGGTGAAACCATTGTAAAACTTTGTCTCACCCTGTCATGTGACCTATTGACAACACCTGACACAAGATGTGATTTGGGGTTGAGGTGAAAGTGACTAGGAGGGGATCTCAAAACTGCATTTTAGGTAAGCCACCTCCTCTGATATGTCCAAGATGGTCGTTCACAGTGGACATAGATGGCCTCTTTCACTCCTCTTTTAAGCCATCTGTCTTCTCTGTCCAAAATGTGAATATTGGAATCCTCAAAAGAGTGACCTTTATCTTTTAAATGTCTTATCCTGTCGAGGTGGGGGCTGTTTGGTTTCTTCAGTGTAGAGGTCTGAGCACTCCAACGGGTAACCAATTTTTGTCTGAGGGTGTGGCTGGGTCTGAAGTGTACTGGGATATTGTGCTTGGAGATTCAGAGAATAATATCTGCATGATTAAGTTCTAGCAGTACCATATCAAGAACAGGGAAAGGGAGCCGGTGGTTGAAGTCTAAAGCAAAAATGGTTTGCATGACATAAATGAGATGGTATTTAAATTTATTTTAAAAAAGAGTTGTGAACAGTAGAAAAAGCACATTTCAGCATTACCATTTTAAAAAAGGAGTGTCAAATTAACTTATAAGACAAAAGTGTTCAGTCACACATATTCATTTAATTGTGTATTGATTATATAACCAGTTATTAATGTGGGCGAAAAAAGGCTAAATAGTAATTACACATTTGCTTATACAAGTGAGGTGGAGCGTTTAGGCAAGTGAGCATAAATCTGGTTTGTTGGTGTTTTGTGACATCTACAATAAATATATAAGCTCATTTGTAAATCTAAAAAGCTAAATTGGGCTGTGAGAAAAGAATTCAGCTAAAACATGATGTGGGCGTGTTCTTTTTGTCAAATGATGCTGGAGTGTATGGAGGTAAGGACCTAAATGCAAAGACGCTGAGAGTTAAATATCAAAAGCTGTTTATTTGTAAGCTGTTGTAATAAAAAAGTGGAAAATGGAAACAGATCTGTAACAAGAAACAGGTGAAACTAATCAAAACTAACAAGAGAGACCCACAAGTACAAATAGGCGCAGTGATTTCTATATGAATACTTTTAGAACAACAAAATTGTCGTAAAAGTGCATGCAGCCATCAGGAAGAAAAAAACCCAAACATACAAAAAACCCCAAAGATGAGCATTATTACTGATGCTCATCAGGGATAAACAAAGACATTAGATGCTATTAAAAATATTTTAAACCCTCCTACTATCTGAGCACAGAGGTCAGAGGGGTTGTTCCAGGAATGGTGACACTGTGACTTGACTCATCATTAGGAGGTGAGTTTACATAACATAACATGCTTTGGACCAGGTTTGGTTTGCAGCATAAGTTACTATGGTGATGTACACTGGTAAGAAAAGAACCACCATCACAGTATAGAAAGCCCTGGGTTAGGTTATGTGGATAAAACCAAATCCAGCCTCAGAACACCAAAATAAATAATGAAGAATTAAAAGCCCAAGAAAACGCAAAACCCAGGGTCCAAGATCCCGGACCATGACAATTTCATGCTAGGAATGCTGTTGTGATCTAATATGTTGCACAAACCAGTCACATCCATCAGTCATGGGTACACATTTGTGTCCAGATGTCCTGAAGCGTGGTGGCAATGCGGCAGATGCTGCAGTTGCCATAGCAGCAGCCCTGGCAGTAACAGAGCCGTGCAGCACCGGCCCTGGTGGAGACGCCTTCTGCTTGTTCTACAACGGAAACACTGGAGAGATCAGAGGGATTAACGGCAGGTGGAGAATCCTTTGGTGCTTTCCTTGTTTTTCCCCATGTGTGCAAAAATAAACCGAACTTCTCTCTGTGTCCTCAGTGGTCATTCTCCCCGAGCACTGACCCTGGACTTCCTGGAAGGACA